TACTTTGTTCGTGTTGACAAAGTAAGATGGACGACATCACAAGTTTGGGTATTAAGGCTTTATTTGGGACGGTTTTCTTACTGTTTTATTATAAAGCATTATATCAGCTTTATAGTACAAAATTTTTTAGTTTAAATATTTTTTTTAACTAAAAAACTGCTTTAGAAAGCAATAAGAAAGCCATCACAAATGAAGCCTAACTATTGGAAAGTAGGTTATAAATGCAATTTGATGGGAACAAATGGGCTTGTTATTCTCTTATCATGTTTTCAACCACTTCTTGAACAGCATGTGGTCTTTCTAAAACTTTCCATGGAGAATTTAATCCAATGATCCGGTGTGACTTAGCTAAGTTTCCCTGTACAATAGGCTTAAATTAATGATGCCCTAGCCCACCTAACCGAATAGACTTGACTACCTAGACCAGACTAAAATAGATAGCAAAGCGAAAGATAGGTTAAAATTAATAGTAAAGGAAATAGAAGGTTAATTCAATTCAAATTTACCATCTCTGTGAGATATTTAAAAACCAACTTCTTCTTCCCAGCTTCGTATATGTTGCATTGAGAGATAATCTGAAACAAAAGACATTAAAATTGGTTTACTTACTACTATTCAGATGCTTTAAGACTTACAAAAGTTACAAATTAGCCAGTAAACAAACACCTGTGATTCAACGCTAGCACAAACGGCATATATGCCCCAACTTCTTGTGTAATTATTGTAAAGATGAACTTTGGCAAATCTAACACGAGGATGCCTTTGCTTTGTTCCATCAAAAAAACAATGGTGAATTGTCACTCGAATGCATCGATCGGTGATATTGGTACTGGAAGCTCCAATGATCAAAGATTTGTCATGCATGGAGAAATGACATCTGCTTACAGAAAGTCATGGGAATTAGAAACTTCAATAAAAATGCAAAGATTTATAATCTCTACCATCAATGAAGCATAAAATGATTAATGGCATGTCTTCATTTACTGTATCCTCAATACTCATAATGTTACAAAGCTGGCGAACAAACGTTTACTTGATAAAATGCACTGTGTCACCTCATACCCATAATTAATCTCTACAAATTTAAAAAAATGGATCAACAAAGCTTTATAGATTATCTATACAACTGTAAGATCAACACTATAGTATTAAATTTTTTCATTCAAATTTTGCCTATCTTCTCTGAAGGTGAAAGGAAGTAATAGAAATTTATAACTACAGGTACGTGGTTGTGAGAACAAAAAAGGGCCTGAATGATGATTTTCTTCTTAAAACAGAATGTATATCGGAAAAAAATGTTACAGACAAGAGCTTGAATAATCCGAGTCAATACAGAACAATTTAAAAGTTGAGCTTTAAATACTTTCTCATAACTTTCTTATTATGAAGTAATACTACTAATTAAAAATAAAAAGATTTTGTAGCTTGCATACTACTTAGTATTGAGATACTGTTAGACCGGTCCACCGGACCGTATCCTGCGAAACAAGCGTTACTTCTGATGTGAAACATGTTGGAGTTACTTGAGAAATTAAAAATCAATTGATTTAAAACTTGCTAATGTAAAATTATTGCTTGCAACAAAGAAAGAACCTAGAATTCAAACTAGTCGGCTTACTTAGGCAAAGGCGTGCTCTTGAGATTAATCAAACAATTCAATCAAAATTCAAAGATATAAGTAAATGTTACAAGCTCATAACATAATCCAACACTTAATAACGAGAGGTTCACCTTGAGTACCTTCTCACTCAACCACTCTTAGGCTTTAGCAGAGAAAGATGAACCATACGAGGAAGGATATTACCACTAGGAAGACGGGGCTGAAGACCATCGTTGATGGAGAAGTAGCCGGCGGTAGAGGAAGCAGTGGGTGATAGGTGATTAGCCAAGGTGTCTTGGGTTTTTGAAGATCAATCGTTCCCGCTAAACAGTAGATGATGCGATTGACATAGTCTACCACCGATTCGTCGTACTCCCAGTCGGGCTGTAGAAAGGGGAGCGGAGAATGTAGATTTCCCCTAGGGCGTTGTAGGCGAAATCGTGATCGACCTCAGGATCGGCCATGCACCGATGACGATGAGGTTAGGAGAGGAGGTCGTCTTCTTCTCTTGGCTTCCAGTTTCATGAGCAACTAGGTTTTCCCAAGAGTGAGGATGCAAGGGAAGGGGAGCGGCCAAGGTAGGGAGAAGGGGAAGGGGCGGCTTGAATGAGGAGCTTGGATTAGGCTAGGAGAGGAAATTTGAAATTAATTTCAGATTTCCTTAATTTGAGTTGGGCTCTCATAATTTCAAATTTGAAATTTAGGCGTTAGGAGGGAAAGTGGGAATTAATGGGGCTTAATTTGGAGCCTTGAAGTAAGCTCCTAATTAAGGAAGGAAGGCAATGGGTGGCCGGCCATAAAGAGAGGGGAGAGGAAGTTTTAGAAATTATGAAATTAATTTAGATTTAAGTGATTTTGGAGGGAATTGAATTTGAAAATTTGAATTCAAATCCAACTAAGGCTTAGGTTTAATTGGCATTTAATGGGTAATACCCATTAATGGGGCCGGTGGCTTCATGAGGGGAGAGAGAGGGATTAGTGAGAGGTTTTGGGAGTTTCTAAACAAGGTTTGTGAATTAGGAAAGATAGTAATAAATCCAATTTATTTAATTTTAAATTGAATTCATGACTAAATACTTTCCTAATTAAGATTGACAAATAAGGAAAGTATTTGAAATTTGAATTTTAAATTTCAAACAAAGATAATTACTTTTCATTCCCATGGAGCTAATTTAGGAGGGGAATTATGACGATTGAAATCATCATAATTGAGGTGGATCCAATGGGGAGGCCGGCGGCAATGGGGGCTTGGGGGATGACATAGGGTGTGAGGAGGGGAGGTTTGAGCCGGCTGTTGGAGAGAGGAATTTGGTGCTTCTAGAAGGTCGGATTTGAATCGGGGTGGGTGCAATGGTGGAGCTCGGTGGGAAGGTGGTTATTGGCCGGCGGGTATGGAGAGGAAGGTGGGGAGGGAAGATGGAAACCACGAGTCACGGACTCTTCCAATGATCGGTGGGTATTGCACTTGCTCACCTTGAGCTCTCTCTCCCTTCTCTCTAGTGCACTCACAAGAAGAAGTAGAAGAAAAAAAACACATAAAATTTCATTATTAAATCATCATCCCCTTACAATAGATGGGGCCTCAATATATAGGCCTGACCATCAATATATAAGCCTGAAATAAAATAAAGAAAAGACACAAATGCCCCTTGGGCTACAACTCCCATAGACTCAAATAAAAGGGTACAAACGGAACTAGCAAACAAACATAACATAAAATATAAATGCATCAAAAATAGAGGTGCTGAATCGTAGCCGTCGATCTACGATTTCGTCGCCGGTACACGTGTCTGAATCTCTTAATGATGTCCTCATCAAGTTTCGCCTCTCCTGTACGCGCCAATCGGACCGTCCGGGTCCAATGGAGTTGTTTAGGAAGGATTTTTTAGGGAGTTAGTAGGAAAATTTGAATGTATGGACTATTTAGAGATTTCCTTTTTGATTGTATGCATTAAATAGTTTGTTTTCCTAGATTTAGGGCATCTTGAATTTGGCTGAAATTTGAGATCTCTTAGGTTTTTGGGCTTTAGGGGTGTCTAGGGATTTGGGAGAGATAAATCCTCCTCTCGAATAGAGGATCAATTGTATCTTGCTATTTTTCTTTTGTTAGTTGGATTATTGCAATAAAATCTACAGTTTTCTGATTTTTCCATTGGTTTTGTGGATCGTGCTTGCTGTTTTTGTCTCAATTGTTAGGGTTTACTTGAGATATTCAAGTGTTTCCTAACAGATACATAAATTTGAGCAGTCTTTGCCATGATTGAAGCTCTAATAATTGAATTCAATCACCCAAAAGTTTTGAAAGCCTTACAACAACGTTTAAAAGCTTTTGAATGTCATGAAATTTATAATGTGGTCATGAAGACAGCTAACATTGTTAAGCTCTCAAACAAACAAAACAAATAATTTATAAACTTCACCGTTTGGCCTACCTTGAAATAGTGATATCAGTACTTTCTTGAGTAATATCAATCAACCCATCATCAAAATCACGTAAACTGCAGCGATCTATCCAAATATGTCTTGACTTTGGTTTTATCTGGATCCCATCTGCATCATGTCCTCTACCACCTTCAAGCTCCAAGTTACATATAATGACATGTTCGCACTCTGCTAATTTCAAGCCTTTGCCAGTTATCTTTATCTTTTGTCCTCGACCATCAATTGTCTTGTAGGAAGATACCCTCAGACTTGATGAAAGCTGAATTGATCCTGAAACTTCAAAAACTATCCAGAGTGGTTCTTTCCTACGACAACCCTCGCGAAGAGAGCCACATCCATCATCTACACAACAGAAATAACCAAAGAGGCTAGCGAACAAAGCAAATGCTACAGCTTTTGATTAGTTGAATGATAAGCTTGATACTAAGGAAGAAGAAAATGTGATATATAAAATAGCTAAGACAAGGCATACAAGATTTAGAGAAATGAAGATAATAGTTTCTTAGTTAAAGATGAAAATATAAAAAAAAGATATTCTAATCTAAGAAATTATTAAATGAAAGTTTTAAAGAAGAAGAAATTTTGGGATAGCACAATGAACAAAATAAAGAGGTATATTATAGGTTAATTGAAATAAAGTGAAGTAGAATTCGCTCTAAAGAAGCTTGTCCAAATGAGATATATATGGAGATTTAGAGTAATAAGAGATCATGCAATGGTTTAGTTAACTTTTTCTTGATGAAATTTTAAAGGCCAATGAAAGCAAGATGATTGGAGAAGAAGTATGGAGAAAAAGTATTTCAGTATCAATATTTGAAAAAAAATGTTTTGTTTAAGAATGTTCAAATTATAAAGGAATTAAACTGATGAATCATATAATAAAACTATGAGAGAATGTTATGGAGGATAAACTTAAAAAATTATATTAATTTTTTAGAATCAATTTATTTTCATACCAAGATGATCTTATGAAAGTGAATGTTGTACTAAAACAATTCATGGAAAAGTATAGATAGAAAATAAAAAATATTTATATAATTTTTATTGATGTTGGAAAAGAATATGATAGAGTACCACTATAATTAATTTGATGCATAATGAGAAAGAAAGGCATGGGTGCTAAAAATATGTTGAAGTGATTAAAAATATTAAATCATTGACTATATTAAAAGTAGTTGGAAAATAACCAAAGAGTTTTCCATTACAATAAGATTATTGCATCAATGATTGACATTGATTCTATATATTTTTTTTTTTGTATTAGCATAGATAAGCTAACAAAAAAATATTCAAATTGAGGTGCCTTAGCATATGCTTTTCGCAACTATTATAGTTCTAATCATTGCGATATTTGTTGAAATAAATGAAAGTTAGAATAATTTAGTAAATATTTAAAAGATAAAAAATATGTATAGAACAAAGATTGTATACGAATGCAATTTTAGTTTGATCTATAGTAAATATTCATAAAACAAATCCCAAATACTTCGGATAAGGCCAATGGTGACAATTATGAGAAAGAAATTAAAAGATGAAGTAATACCTTGATAGGTTCACATAACATGGATCTATTCTAAAAAAAGAGAGACAAAGATGAGAAAATGACTTTAGAATTAAGGCTAAGTTATTAATATAAAGAGATGTCTCTTATTATGCAATAAGAGGATATCATGGAGACTTAAAAGTTAAATTTAACAAAACTATAAAGAGGTTGATTATGCTAAATAGTGTTAGCTAGTAAAATAGTTGTCGATAAAAATTTAGAGTAAGAGAGAGTCACTTTACATGGCTTGATCAAATAAAACGTTAGCCTTCAGATGACCCTATTAGGAGAATAGATATATGCAAAATTTTAGGAAGGAGTGGATGATTAATTTAAATTAGCAGAAGGAGCATGATAAGACGAAAATTTAGAAAAGAGCAAGTTCGCAAGCAAAAAAATTTAGAAAGGATCAAATTCGTCAAATGGCTTGGCAATGTTGAATGCACCAAACGATTTGACAGGTTTTGAATGCACTAATCATTTGGAGCATTCAGCTAAATAGAGAGATTATCGGGAGGGAGAGAGAGAGAGAGAGGGTTGATTTGAGTTAAATAATATTATTTAACTCAAAAGCCTAGAAATTAATTTTTTTCCAAATATCTTATAGAAAATTTTTATCTAGAAAAATTGAGTTAAATAAAAATTAAATATTATTTAAAAAACTTTTAGACTATTTATATAAAAAATATTATCAAATATTATTTTAATAATATATTTAAATATCAATTTGTAAATATTAGTTAAATATTTAAATATTTAAAATTGATTTAATATTATTTTAGATTTTTTTTAGACTTGTAGTCAACTATTTCATAATTTTTTCTTAATTTAAATAAAATATTATTTTTTAGATGATTGGAATAAATTTTTAATCAAATTTTTAAACTAAAAATAATAAATTTTAAGTCAATTTTTAATATTTTAAAATATTATCTAACTATATTTTAAAATTGATAGTTAAATAATATTAAATATTATATTAAAATAAATTTAAATATTATTAATTCAATTTTTTTAGGTAAATTTTTTTATAGAATATTTAGAAAATTTAATTTTTAGACTTGGGAGTAAAATAATGCTATTTAAATCAAATTGATCCCCTCTCTCTCTCATTGTCGCTCTCCTTATTATCTCTCTAATGAGCTAAATGCGCCAAGCGCCAAAAAGATTGGCATTAACTCGCCCATCGTGTGTGGGACTTTAGGATGTGCCAAATCATTTGTGGCAAATTTTTCTTAAATTTCGTTTCGGCGATCATGCTCCTTCCCTAATTTAAATCTAATTCTTAGCGTCCTTTTTAAACCTTTGTCGCAGATGTATTACAATAGGTCCATGTTATAAAGATAGAGGTAAACTCAAAAAGATTTAGTTAGAAAATATTAAAAATGAATTTTTTTTTATTAGATTTAAATGAGAATTTAACTCTTAATAGGATAAGATGGAAAAAAAAAATTCATGCAGCTGACCCCACATAGTAAAATAAAGGCTTATTGTTGTAGTAGTGGTATAAAAAAACTGAGTGTAACCAAAAATAAGAACCTTAAGATGCATATGTGAAAAATTAGGAATTACAAATTAGCGAATGATTATATCTGAGAATCTGACATCTACTGACGTTAAGGTACTTGAAAATAGACTTGGTGATTTGGAAACATACAACAAAGGGTATAAAATTCACAAATTAACAAGCAGATACAATTAGGATTGAATGATTAAGAATGAAAAAGGATAGACCTAAGAAAACATAGGTAAATTTTTCAAAACATTTTTCTAAGAATAGAAAGAACAAATTACATATGGAAACCATACTTTAATTTTCTGCACTATTTTTCTTTTCAAGATTTAACACCTCAAGAAGAACTAATGAAAACTGAGGATATTCATGAAGCTCACAATGGAAAAAAAAAAAAACATTTTGAGTTCCTTCTAATTTTGTAACCATAACTTTACCCAAAAAGAAAGAGATTCTCAGAAACTAACAATCCATAAGCCATTGATGTGCTTGGATCAAGTATAACATAAACCCTGCCCCTAAACCCTAACATAACAAGCAAGAAGCATTACTTACCATCCAAGTTGGTAACGACGTAAATAGCGCCATGAAGGCCACCGATGGCGTGCCGGCCAAAGCCCTCCGCCTTACCAGCGAGCGCACGGAGGCCACAATCGACGTCGCCGTAAGGAAGAACCACCATCTCCTCTTCGGTTCCCACCTTCCACCAATTCTTCTGAGCGATCTCGGCGAAGCCCTTATTAAATGAAGGACGCCGACCGGTTCGGCCATTACCGGCCGTTTGGATCGAGAGGTCATGGCTACCGGAAGGTGACGAAGAAAGAAAAAATAAGCAATCCAAAATCGACGCAGACAACAAGCTGTTAGGGAAGCTCGTCGCTTTTCAGTTTCAAGTTGCAACTGAGGTTTTGTAGGATCGACAAGTTGTTCGAATGGCCGCCATTGCTCCAGGCATCATCGCCTTGGAAGAACAAAATTCTATCAGGATTATTTGATATATTTTGATTATTTTCTGTATTTTATTACGCATCAATTATTAATTCTTAATGCAGAATAAATTATTAAATAATAGAACTAAATTATTAAATAAATATAATTAAATCATTTGA